CGGCTCCTTAATTTAGCAGACAGTAGCACAGTGAGAGCCAGTGCCTGGGAAATAAAGCAAAAAAATTCTGCATAGAAACAAATCACTTCAAAGCGTGAAAGTTTCTGCTCATTGGACTAAGGGAGGTGATAGATTACATATTTTGAAGTCCTTAAATAAAGATCAGATTACATTCTAAAAATACGTGTTGCTTACCCAGATGTTACGTGATTGATATGAGAATTGTCAGATGAAATATCATGTCTTGTGCTGTATAGAAGGAAAAACTAGTTGATCACAAGGAGCTTTCTAATCTTAAAATCCATTCAGGTATTTATTCATGTTTGAATGCCTTAATTTACAAACTTAACAGTGTTATTCATGGCTTTATACAATATTTTTAGCAAGCATAAAATAGAAACAAAACAATCTCGTGCATGAATATGATCATACAGAATTTCATGCCTTTTGTAGCATTTAGATTGAGAACTCTTAAGCCATTTCAAGATCTCTGTTGCTGCCACCACAGTGTGGGTATCAATATTAACCTACTGTCCTTTATGTGTAAAGGTTACCAAAGGACCTGTGACACACGTACTTTTCCAGGGTGCCTCACAGTTAATACACAGTCCTCCCAAAAAATATTAGCTGTCAGCATTCCTGGAGTTTATGCCTGGATTTAGGGGGGAAGACAGCAATGATACTAGTAAGTGTAGCAAACCACAGGAATTTAATACTGTCAGTCTGGGTGTTTGGACTTCATGGGTTAGATTTAGATTTGCCTCGTTTGCAATCTCTCTGTAAAATGAAGGCAACGGTCTGTGTTTGCTTTCTCTGGGCAGGGAAGGTAAGAATTTATTCAATACTAAATACTTTAAAGGATGCAGCTGTATTTTAACAGAAGAGAAGAGATAAGGGAAGATAGAAGACATGACCTCCTGGCTTGAACCAGCATGAAGTGGGAGGGAGAGAAAAAAGGGTTCACCTAATGATGTGGGAGAGGAGCTGCACAAGTTTGTGGTCCCAGTCACATCATTTGATTTGTCTCACACAAGGTTCTGGTAATGGGATGTGAGAAAGAGGTCAGGAAATCATAATGGCTCTTAGCTCTTTTTAAATCTATGTCTGCTTTCTTAAGGGTACAAAGAGAAGTTGTGTTGACTCATATACCTGGTTTGTATCAGTGGAATTATATGCAGCACTGTGGTGACACTTTGCAGTCCAAGGCTTTTTCAGTTGTGCTTGTGGTCCCTCTTCCTGCCTGCCTTCCTAGCATGTTCCCATTGCACATTATGCCAGTTCATCAAAGCAGCTACTTTCATGGATGCAGAGTTATTTTGAATTAATGTACGTGGTCAACCTGTTTAACATGCCATAACTGCCTGTATTTTTAGAGGGACACATGTTGCAGCTTGTGACAGGATTAACACTGGGCTTCAGAAGGGATCTGTGGGGAAAAAAAAACCTTCTGCTGATTACAAAGCAAAGTTACACTGATGTGGAAATCATTAAAGCAACCCGCTGTGACTCGGTGGTTAAAGGACGTAAAAGACACCTTATATTATGTGCAAATCAAATGTAATGCAGGTGGAAAAAACAAACAAACTGCCAATTTTATGTATGCTCGGGGCTCATTTGAGGGAATCACAGAGCAATTGTGAGGCTGCTCTGTACAGTCTGTTATCTCCCTGGCAGAAGGAGACGTGTCTGTCCTGTGTCTTCGATGTTTCTTTCACTACTTTGTAGAGAGATGACAAGAGAGACCTTGGTGCAGCCCTCTGGACCTTTTGCTCCAAATCAAAGCTGATTCTTTCTGAAGCAGAACAACACTTCCACAGCCAAACAAGTCTCTCCAGGCACACAACTTTCTGATGAAATTCCAGCTACTGATTCATCCCACCCAGTTCACTCTTTTCCTTCAGAACACTGAATCGTATTTTCACAACTTTATAATTAAGGGGAAAAAAGGTCTTCCTGAATAAGCTTCCCAAGTTCCAAGTTTCAGAGTTCCTCAGGTTGATGATATTAAACTAGGATGGGGTTAGCGTCTTCACTGCAATGAAATTGTGTTCCACAAAAAACATTCTGCTTTTTTTTGGTTGTGTTTTGGTTTTGTTTTGTTGTTGTTTTTTTTTTTTTTCCCTTGGAGGTTGTGTCTGTCTGGCTAGCCCTTGTACAAGTTCTAAAAATATCCTTCAAAATCTCTCTCCAGATGCATGTAAAACCATCTTGTGGAAATTGTTGGAGGCTTTTAATGGACCTAAAGATGTCACTCTGATATACGAAGGGAAATCCAACTAGAATAATTTTAGGCAGAAAGGTTATGCAGTAATATCAGCAATGATATGGTAGTCTAATACCAGTCTGCTTTTAGATCTTTCTAAGTTTTAAAGTATAATAGGCTCTTTTTAATTCCTTAACCCGCCTGGGACTGGGACCTGAAAAGATTAAAAGTGGCTTAAATCCTTATACTCTCTTTTCCCTCTATCTTCAAAATTGCACTCAAGGAAAATTTTGGTATAAATATTACTATTTGTGATTATGGATTACTGCATATAAATTTCCTACTGAATCTGACCTGCTCCACTGTCCTTCATACCTCTCCAGACCATTTGAAGGGAAATTCATATGTCCTAATGAAACAAATATATATTGAAGATTGTGCAAGACAAAGATTTAAAACATATTGTATGCACTTTTCTGCACAGTTTGCAATAAGAACTGTTGATTGTTGTAAATTCAAAACTTGCATGTGTTTCTCATAGACTGAGGTTCTATGAAATGCCAAGCATAGACTAAAATATAGCCTAAAATATTAAAACATACATTAAGGACTTACCAGCTAAGTCCCACACACAAAGTTCAGTAAGTAAACCCCTTCAGGAAGAGTGTTGCTTGACCTAGTAAATAATGGTTGGGTATCTCTGAGAGGATCTGAGCCAGTATCTGCTTTTACATCAGCATGAATCAGAAGTCGCTGTATCATAGACAGTACATGCTTCATCTTACTTAGATTAAAACAGATTTTGGTGCCCAACCTTCAAGCTATTGCTGTAGATATGTTGGCTGGTCACATTCTGAAAATTGAAAGTTTTGGTTTTCATACAGTTGGTAAGTGGAATAAGTACCTTTTTGTACTTGAAACCTTGAAAGTTATCTTTTCAACTGTACCAGTAATGAAAACATACAGAAAATATTTTAATTACAGTTGGACTTTGTATGCAGTTAAGGAACAAAACTTCATTAAACAAAGTGAAACATTTCATAGAATTCCCCTGCCACATCCATATATTGTGGTAATTTACTTTGAATTTAAGAATTATGATCCTCTTTGTATGTCTCAGGTAGGAGCAGTCGTCTTCATCACATTTGTTCCTAAGTCTTTTGAATTCCAGCTTTGCATTTTCAAGGCTTTTATTAATGCAGGGACCAGCCAGATTTTCTTCATTTTAGAGGCTTGGTGGCAAAAGAAGAAAAAAAAAACCCCAAGTGATTGATTCTCTGGGGCCCAGATCTCTTCTCTGTCCTTTCAGCAGCCCCTGAAAAGCAGCAGAAGTGGTGTGGTTGTATTTCATAAATTACAGTAGGGCTTCAAACGTTGTGAGCTTGGATAATGTATCCTCCTCTCCTTTCCAAAGCATGAGAAAGTGGCTGTTGCATTGGACTGCTGTGTTGGATATAGAAGAACCACCTATTCCCCTGCACCATCTCATACTCTTACTACCATGCCGGGAAATGAAGTGTTTGTGATAAGTAAGTGGGTGGCGTTATGGTGTGTTCTTTCATGTCATTCCTGAGCAGATTCTGGACTGCAACTCCAAACTGCTCTCTAGGATCTGAAGCTATAATTCCTAGTCCTGAGGTGTCACAAGATACCTCTGTACGAACTGTGATTTTACAGCAGTCTTCCATAGATAGTGATGAACCTCAGCCAGGAAGTTCTGAGATGGATTTTTGAGTCATTTTTTGTTTTACTCTTGCTTTTCTTGGATAAGACCCTTTTACACTCTTTTTACTGATGCAATGAGGAAGGGAATCTTACAGAACCACCTCCTCTGGTTCTATGTCCAGTGTGAATTTCTTCAACCTATATGAAACTCTGCAGCCCATTTAGACAGTGGGCTAAGTCCTGCCTTGATGGATTTTGTCCAGAGCTGCAACAAAAGTGCTCTCGGAAGGGGCACATACCGGGAACATGTTTCCCACGTTTCCTGCTGTTGTGGAAGAGGAGCATCAAGCTGAAGAGGCAATGGCACCTATAAAGACCCTAAACAAGCTGTAATAGCGGAGACAGTCTAAAGGCTGGTAAGACCTGGGAAGGGGAGCATTTTCCTTGGGCAGAGATGCCTTAACATCTAATTCTTTTGCTATGACAGTATCTATATTCTTTATGAACTTGAACAGTCTCATTAGCAATTACTAATGTACATAATACATATTAGTATACCAGGGGCTTTGAGGAGATTCAGAAACCCATTCAGACAGAAGAGAAGCCTGATAAGGTGGACCAGTTTTTGACTCACAAGCTTAGCTATCCAACTAATTTGCATGAAGTTTAAGTGAGAGCCTTAAATCACAGTGAAGATGTTTCCTATGTTGTAATTAGATGAGAAACTCCTGTACAGACTTTATAGCACAGTCATGGACTCACTATATAATATATGAGTGTTTTTATATGAATATTTTATATGAATATTATGCTGTATATGTTCTGTTACAGATTACATCTTCCATTTTTCATGGCTATATGAGCCAGTAAGTCCTACAATAAAATTTCGTGTCAGCTAAAGCTGCTGTCTTATCATATACACTGCTTTAACAGACCCCAAATTCTATTGGGGCAGAATTGCCAGCATGTCCTGACCTTGGTCACACCTCTGTTCAGGCTTCGTTTTTCTCCTTTCTGAGCTTGTTTCACTCCTTTAGGAACTTTTCAATGTGTTGTGCAAAACTGCAAGCGTGACAGTTCAGCTTTTCAAGTTCTAACAAGAAAAAAACCCAAAAGATCACTCTAAAACCTCTGGTTAGGATTTCATTTTATTTGTCATCTTTTATGAACAAATTACGAAATATACTTCATTCACAAATTGGAAATATTTACAATTTCTTTACAACAAGGCATTGTTGAGGTTTTGATTTATGACGTTCTTAGAGCATTCTGTCTTTCAAAACAAAGACAGTGGTGTTGTTTTCAGCACACTGTTCATTTACACTCTGAATATGAAATGGGAGCCTTTTGGAAGAGTAATTTGCACTCTCTTTTGATATGATCTACTGGGAAACTGAGGCCGGATGCATTTGCAATGTGGGGAGGGGGACTATGCAGATGCATTGCTGGTACCTTGCCACATGATCTGAAGCCATCGTATTACACCAGGTGCTGCTAAGTGGGGAGGAGGTAAAGATCCCCCTGAGCCATCCTTCCTCTGCCCTCTTCTCTTTAGGAATCTTGTGACGGGGCTAAATGTGGGCCAGTTTAATTTCTTTTTTTGATTCTTCATGAGAAGAAGAGTCTTGAGAAGTCTATTTCAATACTGTCATAGTTCTGAAAAGTTATTTAGACAAAAAAAAAAAAGAGAGAGTAGCCAGGAAGTGAATAAATATTGTATATCCGCAAAATGTTTAGGAGACAAATTTTGAACGTATTTCTAAAAGGGGAATGCAACTGTGCTGTTCTGCAGTTGTGACACTTGAGCTGTAAAAGCTAAGATAGTTCCATTTTCTCAATCTCTTGGAGTCTCTTTTTTTCCCCGAAGAAAATTCTAAAACCACTTCTTTCCCTGGAACTTTTAAAAATCTCTTAATATACACTTCCATTATAAATCAGATGTGGGCCACCATTGCTTAGGTTGTCTGTCATTTCCTGCAACAAGAATAGAAAACACTGGTTAGAAATACAATTATTCTTTACAATTATGTGTTTGACATTTAGTTAGCTAAGGTTGTAATAAAAAATTAACAAACTTTGAATTTCAAACATTGAGCTTTCAGAAAAACTACATTTTTTATTTGGCTTGATAAATCTCACTGTAAAAAAAATATCACATTTCTTCCTATATAAATTAAGTACATTTGAAAACTGATAGACTCATTGATACTGACTGAGTTGGACATTACTCTCAGACCACATATACAGCGTTGATGGCATCCGGGCAAGTTTTGTGACGTTGTCCTTTGAAAGTGTATCAACTCAAACTTGTGTGATAATGTACAACGGAACAAGATGGTAACTGAGTCTTTGTTTCCATTCAAACCTTTTTCTGTGCTGACATGCTACAAACAGATGCCATTCGATGCTAACTGGGATAAAATTTGAGAAATAGGTGTAGATCCAAACAGGATCTAAGGATTTTGACTGCTTGCCTTGGAATGGGACTGATTTTGGTTTTCACTTAATATGCCACAATACAATTTTTAGCAGTTCAGCAGTTGCCACTCAAGTGGCAGATGAGTCATCCCAGAGCAAGATGACCTGATCATGAGTCAGAATCCTAAAGCACCTAAACCAACATTTGTTTGGAGTTAGAGTTTCTAATTCTCAAATTGCAATCCAAAGAAACTTACTTAGCAGCTGTCTAAGCCTGGAGATGGCTACATTAATTAAGCACTTCTCTGGTCTTCAAGGCTGCAAAGCCACCTGGAGCTTATACTCAGATCTGCCTTATTCTAAGCAGTCCTAGGCCTATTTCATACCAAATTGAATCAGAATGCAGAAATGATCTGCTGCTTATGTCCGATGACAGATCCCAGAGAACATCCAACTGTGCCAAGAGGAATGGGCACATGTGAAAATGCAGTTTGGGCTATTCTTTTCAAAATTCAGGTAGATGAGGTGAAGGTGCCACTGTTGGGCTAGTTCTATAATATTTGCACGAGAACCAGCAGCTCTTCTCTGCATGGAAGATTAAATTCACCTCTTCCACCTCATAGGTACAGTTGGAGAAAATGTGGATGAAAAGGGACCTGTTTGTCCCTCTTCTTGTGAAAGTTTATATGAAGAAAGTAAAGCGAGATTCATCGGGCTAAACTGAGAGAGAGAGAGAGAAAGACAGAAAGAGCAAGCCTGACTCTATAGCATAGTAGCTGAGATTTTTGGCAAAGAGAAGAAAATTCTAGGGCCCGGTGTTTATCCCTAGTCTGACTCTTTCTCTCTCTTCTTTTAGTCCACAAATACTTGATTTATAATAGTTTGGGAGGCAGAGACCAGAACTCAAGAGTTTCACATGAAGTGGAAACACTGGTGCCTCCTCTCTCAGGTGTTACCAGCTACATTTTGAAGTAGATCACAAGGCTTAATTGTTCCCTGCACAGTTTTTGAAAGAAATTATGCGCTATTCTTCGCTACAAAGTAAACTTAGGGCCATCGAACCAAGTACCCTTGCCAATTAATAGTCCTGAATCAAGCATAAGCTTCAGAGAAAATAAGGTGTGTAAACACTGAATTTTGAGCATTTTCTACCACCCAGCTCTCCATTTGGCAGGTGACGGTGTTGGATGCTTTTGTGTGGTGCCTTGTTCTCCTCATATTCTGAAGAGCAACATGCATGCCTAACACTAGCCTCAGGATCCCGGTCTGGGGGCTGTCTGCTCTGAAACAAGGCGCTATGTTTTGCCTATTTGTAGGTGCCTAAACCCTTTGTTGGATCTATGCTGAAGATAGCAGTTAGCTGGTAAAGGGACCGAGAATACCAAAGCCATTTAATATTAACTATCAGTCAGCCACAGGTTAATAGTAATGATCTGTCAGAAGGCTACTCATAAGTGAAAGTTTCCTTTTTTCAACTTTATCCCTTGAATCATCTGCAGACATCAGCTATTAGAATAACATCATAATTTCAAAAAGTATTGAAAAACATTTATTTTCCACAATACTTCTATTTTCAAAAATAAAAGTATTAATAAATTAAAAAATGTTGCTGAATTCAAGAAATGAAGGAGCACACAGATTAGAAGCAGAGTGAGTCAATGGTGGCAACATCCAAATAGGAGCATTTGGATGTCTATAACTAGGGTGAATATTTTAAATACTCAACTTACTTCCAGATTGCAGCGTTCACCACGTAGAATTATGTCACCACCTGGAAGCACCATTCCTGACTCAGAGTGACATCACAGCATCAGCCAACTTTGATTAGCTGAAACTATGACTTCCTCTTAGGGGTAGCCCTTCCTGAAGTGACATAACAACATGGTAGCTCCCTAGTGTTCAGCGTACCTTGGAGGTAACTCTGGTGTCGGGGGAACCACCGGGCAGCTGGGCAGGTCGGTTATTTCAATACCCCTCAATCTCTAATATAAATATAACAATTATACAATAAATATAGCACAAACAAATGCACATGCAGTACATGTCTATATTACTGTATATCAGTATAAATATACAAAATAGTCTTGTATATAAAACACTTTAAAGCTATTTTCTAAATCAGGGCCTAATTTAATGTAAGTTTTTAAGTAACCTTCATTATTTTTTAGGGGCATGCCTTGAGCTAATGTACTCAAACCGGCCAGCAGCAGGCTGTCACAGGCTGTAGGTCTAAGACGTCGCAGATCAGACCATCTACGCATGCATACTTGTTTCTACAACACACATTCAGGGAGTCCATCATCAGTGGGGCACATCCCACGTTCACGGAGTATGTGCAATAGGGTTGCTCTCCACATGCATCATGACCCTTCACCCAAGATAGATGGGCATCTGACAGTTCTCACTGCTAAGTGTCTTAAAAGCTCAGTAGGTGAATGGGCCAGGAAAGACAGTAGTGAACTACTGCTATACATGGTCATCTTCAGCCCAAATTGATAGGGTTGGCAAGTGTTTGTATTTTGAAAGATTTTTCTTCCCAGGCCATTTCTCTTTCTTTACTTCTCTCTTTTTATGTCAAATAGGCTTCATCGTTGTCATTGTTGAGACAAGAGCCTCTTTGAGAGGCAGGATCTAGCCTACCACCTGCAAGACCATGATCATGCTTGCTTACACAGTTCATCAGAACATTGCTTCATTTTAAAATGGGAGGGAGAAATGTATCTTTTTCCCTGATTTTATCACCCCGTTTTATGTTACTGTTTTAACTTATACTAATTTAACTTCTAAAATATGTTTCAAACATCTTCTAAGGTGAATTCAGTCTGTATTTCTACTTGGAGTCTCATCTCAGTTAAGAAACCAAAGAATAGTGACAAGTCATTTTTACTTAATGGACAATTAACTGCTATATTATGTTTTGTCAAGGAATCAGAAAACGTTCTACAGTCTGAATTAATCCTTGTTCTGCTGTTCAGAGGTCTCAGTAGATGTGATACAGACTGTTGAAGTTAACTATAATGCAGACTTGCATGGGGAGGTTTAGATGGGCAGGCTGCTTGACTTTTGTTCCCTTCTTTACTCATTTCTTAAATGAAAGTTGTTGGATATGAAGTCTAAACGTAGACCACAGGGTGTCAGTGAACATTTTACTCCTCAAATATTAATCATATCTGTAAATCCAAGGAGCTGAATTAAAGAATTCTATTCACTTAATTCTTTTGGCCCTACATGCTCAACTTTGGGAGCTTTAGTTTCAGCACCTAAACATAGACCTAGACACCTTGGAAACCTTCCTTTTAAGAGAAAGGCAGTAAATGCTCAGTGCTGCGTCAAATCCGACCAGTTTCATTTAGGTGTCTAAATATGCCCTTAGGTGCTTAGGTTTAGTCATCTAGGTTTGTGAACTGTGGCTTTTGTGTTTAAACAACCTACTTTATAAGCTGAGTACTTGGGAGAGGAAGAAATTGATTAAATCCTGGAAGCATGCAATGATGTGGTTACAGAAAGCATTCTGTGCTTTTTCACAGTACAACACATGAGAATCCATATTAATAAGGCTTCCAATTATTTATGAAGTGCTATATTTAGCAGCTAAGCCCTTGAATAGCTATACAATGGAATTATGTTGAAAATGGATGTACTTCATTGAAATGGATGTACTGCAAATATACAGTATCTAAAAATAACTCCATATAATGCAACATAATAAAGCTTATACAGAATGGCAGCGTTTCATTTCCCAGAAGCTCTTTCTCATATAAAACTGAAAACTGAATACACCTCTTGCCAATTGTAAATGTTAATACATACAGCGGCATTGTAGGAGAAGCAGAACAAATAAGGGAGGACACACAACTCACTTTTTCTGCCATTTCATGGGAGTGATGCAATGAATGTTCTCTTTCTGAGAACATTCGCCTTTGTTCATAGCTGGCTAGCCGACAAGTGAGCCATGAAGAAAGGGTGCAACCACCAATTCCAATGCATGCAAGAGACATGGAGGCAAGATGCAAAGAATAGAGAGCAGACGACTTCTTTGTCAGAGCACGAAGAAATTGAAAATTTAAGATTCCTCCGATTAGTCCACAGATGCAACAGGCAGAAAAAAGTATCATCTGTCAGGAAAGACAAGAGAGTTTATGTCACAGTAACATTTTTCAGAGACAGATTCATTCATACAAAAAATGACACTAACATTCAATGCTTCGATAGCATCATGGATTGCAAAACACTTCACAGACAGTCATTTTTAACTCCCTCGGCTCCCACAGAGCTCCAAGGGAATACAATACCTTCTGGTGTACAGGAGTTAAGATTGATGTTGCATGTAAGATAAAGTTGGGTAGAATGAGTTGCTCATGTTAAAAGCTAGCCAGTGGAAGGACTACTAGGACATAAATCTGATTTACAGCATTTCATTCAAAACGATAACATGACAGAATGTGTCGTAATTTTCTATTGTGCAGTTTCTCACCACTCCGCAGGAGTGAACGCCTCATACTCGCATTGCATCTCTTTTGTGCGCCATCTGACTCTGCCTCTTGTTCAATTCTAATTTGTTCATTCAGAGAGCAGTTTGGAGGCTTTCTACAGTTTTTGTGGGCATTTCAAAAGTGTTCAAGGTGAATGTGCTGGACAAAGAAGCAACAGAAACAACAAAGAAATCTGTGATGCAGCTCTGCAGAAGGTCAGCATGGTGACTGTGTTTGTTTGTTTGTTTGTTTGCAACTTGGTTAAAATGTTTCAGGGAACTTCAGAAGAATGTGAAACAGGCCGCAATTAATGAGACATGCTTAAAGACCTCCTATCACTTTAATCACAAAGATGCCACCCTGGTTCAGGATGTCCTTGAGCCACAAATGACTCGAGTGCAAAAGACCTTATTACAAAGACATTGCTAAATTATTGTCTTCTTCACTTCCCTTGATATTGCCGGCCTGTCAGATGTTGATCTAGATGGGCCTTTGATGTTACTCAATATGGCTTTGTATATGTACTTATCTACGGTGGTAGGAACAACTTATGGAGCCTCACAGACCACTTCTGTACACGACTGGGATGAGAATTTCATCAGGAGTGTGGCGTTCAGGCAGTATGCTGCAGTCCACTGGGAAGTGACTATTCTAGGAGACCACCAGACAGCTTTTAGAAACTGGTCATGGTCCGCATGCTTTAAGAAATTAGACTGTCGTCGTAAACGGGTTTAACTCATTGGTATTCAAAAATTATATGAGAGAGATCTTGACTCCCTTCACACTTACGCTGGTATTACGTGACTGCCATCTGTATATGGCAGAATAATCAAACTGACAGAAAATTAAGCCAGACATTATCACTTACAGTAAGAGCATGTTTTTAACATAAAGTTCTGCTATGACTTGTTGAGTAATGGCACCATTTTGTGGCAGTCAGAAAAATGACTGTACTTCTGATTCTTAGAAGAGACAGAAAACATTCACCATCCCTTTAGAACTGGCTAATTAATGATTCTGATTGCAAAAATAATTTACTAAAATAGTGAAGAGCTATGATATCTAGAAGCAAACCTGGTCAGCAGCTTCATTGAGGTGGCAGCCCAGTCATGGCACACTTCATAGAAATGGGTTTTTAAAGGAGAGAAGTTACAATCCAGTGAAGTTATTGGGGAACTTTTATTGACTTGACATAAATTTGTGTCAAGAGGTTTTCCATCCATGTTTATCCAGACAGGGATAAATAGGGATGTGTGTCTTGAACAGACATGACCTAAAATAGGCCATTTCAGAACTGCCTTGTTTTGCTTGATTAACCCAAAGTGCTGATTGCTTTTTTGGATTGCTGACTTGCAATTTTTATTGATTTTTTTATCAGAAACACTTGGACACAGGAAGCACCCAGTAAGGAATTCAAGTTAGATAAGTATGCCTTTCAAATACTTATGTCTTATATATGCAGTGGAAAAACTTACAACAAGTCCAGATTTTTTTTTTGCGCACAGTATTCCACATATGCCACAAAGCAGAAACTGCAAAGAAAAAAACCCAACAATTATTTCATCATTTAAGGTCTTGAGTTTAAATCCTACTGTATTGCTGTAGTGGTGACCACAATGGTAGGTTAGGCAACGGTTACAGTTGTTGTCAGCATTTTTATCACAAACCTTATGTTTCAGGAAGTTATAACTCAACCATAAACACACTTATCCGAGAAGAAGAAACTGGAATGAGAAGTGAGACTGAGGATGATTACTCATAAAAAAAAATAAATCCTACTTTTAATCTGCTTGGGTAAACAAAACATGAAAAAAACCCACAATGTTGCAAGATGCCTTTTTACTCTTTTGTTTTCCTCAGAAAAGTTTAGCAAGGTAATAGACAGTGATCCAAATCATGTGCTTTCAAGCATAGCTGAGGTACTTAATGCCCTGATCCTATTGTGTGAACCACTGAGGGATCATACATGGGTTGTTGTCCTCAAGCCAGTGGAACTCAGGGCAAGAATGCAATTCAATCACCTCCATGGGTGCATGTGTAAATATGAGTACCTCTGTTGGTGTGGCTACACTGAACATGCAGGAAAATCTGTTTCAGATTCTAGATAGCCCACTCTGCAAGAGATAGCATGAAGGTATCTGTACTTTTTTCATGTAGTTCCTGTGCACAAACTGATCTGCTAATTGTCTCATCAAGCATTAGGCTAAAACTGATTAACAAAAACAAAAACAGGGATATGAATAATAGGTGTTAATGCTTTTTAGTGACCTACATTAAAGACAAATGACATTCTCTGATGTCTCTTTTTCCTTCTCCAAAAAAGTTTGATGAGGGAAACAGTGAACAGTCCCTTAGGGAACAGTGGTGGTAGGAACTACATTGGTTATATAAAAGCAGTAAGGTCTTCTCCAGGTGTTTGTAATATTGTCAAAAGATTTCTTCAATACTTCATAAACTCTTTTATTAAGAAATCTATGCTACCTTTTTTTCAGTAAAGCTAAACCTACACTCCTATTGGGAAGCAATTTCATGGTTTTAAAACTGGATTTTTCCACATCCTTTTTGCACTGAGATGGTGTTTCTAGCAAAAGGCTCTACTTGACCTCGATTTAGGATTAAATCATAGAACAGACCTGGCTGTTACATAAGAAATGAAAAAAAAGAGAGCAGTTTCTATACAACATTCAGGCTCTAATATATTGCACGTACATCTCATTTACCCTCCAAAATATTGCAACTTCAGTATCTCAGTTGTGGAGATGCTTTAATACATAGTTTATCTCCCTCCAGCTAAATTAGTTCATGCATATAGCTAAGCATAAGCCTTGAGATGTATTTTTACTCTGTTAGGCCCGTTGAATCAGTTCCCCACAATGCATATGGTTCAATTTTGTATATTATTTACCTCTACACTAATCATGGGGCGTGGACTTAATACCAATCTGATTGTGGAGGAGGCTGGGTCATGTAAACCATGGCGCTGAATGGCTCAGGACATGCAACTGGTAATTGCCACTAGAGTTCACCCACTGGAATAACAATCAAAAGAACAATAGGTAGGGCTCCCTCTGCCCCTTTCCCACAAGCAGAGGAGATTTTGGCTCAGAACTATCACACCTGCCTTGTAATTTTTCTCTCCAGCTTCCTGTGAAGTTTTGGAGTTTCAATCCCAGTCCTGTCATTGCAGATTGTCTTCAACTGAAGGCATGCTTAAGATTTTCAAATGTAGTGTTTTGTATTTCTCAACACTAATGCAGAAACCTCAAAAAAAAATTGTGTTGAAGACATCACTGTAATTAAGTTGTATTCGGTCAGACTTGATAAAGCAGATTAATATCATTTCTCTCTGTAGTGATTGAATAAGAATAAGATGAAAATTCTGTATGATGAAAAATGTATGAGTTCTGGAAATCTTACAGAAAGGAGCTGGAAGACACCATCAAAGATAGTTTCAACTTGTAACAAGCGTAAGTTAACTAGTTTTAAAAGCTGGGGTTTTGATAATTTACCTTGAAAACTGAAGGAATAGGTCACCCATTTTTTTCAAGAATGCTCTAATTCTGCTGTTTCTACTAGAGTCAATTGATTTTTGCCATTGATTTCAGTTGGAGAAGACTTTCTGCTTCCATTGTACAGTCTTTGTTAGCCAGAAGGGAATGCAACAAACATTCTCTGTACTTCTACAAGTTACATTAGCCTTGCATACGACCAAAGGAGCAACAAGCAAATTACAGATTCACTCAGCATTAGAACCCATCAGTTTGGGCAGTTCTGTTATTCTTTACTAGGACAGAACACATATCTTTCCAAACCACCTTTATGTAGTGTCATATACATATATATTACCTAAGCTATTTCCCAGTTGAAATCCAAAGAATAGTGAATGAGCTAATCTGCAAGCCCTAAGGTACTGGATTCTCAAAAATAAGGAGTGACTACTGTATTCCATAGTTGTTAAAGTATCTGAGGGTCTACTTGGAGTAATAATCTGCATGCAAGAGTCAAATGTACATTAACTTTGCTGATGATACTAAATTGGGAGGAGCTGTGGACTCCCTTGAGGGTAGAGAGGCCTTACAGAGAGATCTGGATAGACTAGAGAGCTGGGCAATCACCAACCATATGAAATTTAACAAGAACAAGTGCCGGATTCTGCACCTGGGATGGCGTAATCCCGGTTGTACATACAAATTGCATGATGAGAGGCTAGAGAGGAGCCCCATGGAAAGAGATCTGGGGGCCTGGGTTGATGTCAAGTTGAATATGAGTCAGTAGTGACTGACTCATGTTCAACTTGACAAAAGGGCCAACTGTGTCCTGGGGTGCATCAAGCACAGCATAGTTAGCCAGTTGAGGGAGGTGATTATCCCACTCTACAATGCACTGGTGTGGTCCCACCTCAATAACTGTATGCGGTTTTGGGCACCTCAATATGAGGACATCAGACCATTAGACTGTGTCCAGAGGAGGACGACCAAGATGGTGAAAGGCCTTGAGGGCAAGACTTACAATGAGCAGCTGAGGTCACTTGGTTTGTTCAGCTTGCAGAAGAGAAGGCTGAGGGGTGACCTCATCACAGTCTACAACTTCCTCAAGGTAGCAATTTCCTCTCTCTGGTGACCAGTGATAGGACATGAGGAAATGGAATGAAGCTGTGTCAGAGGAGGTTCAGATTGGACATTAGGAAAAGGTTTTTTGCTGAGAGGGTGGTTGGTCACTGGAACAGGCTCCCCATGGAAGTGGTCATGGCACCAACTCTGTCAGAGTTTAAGGAGCATCTGGACAATGCTCTTAATCATATGGTTTAGTTTTAGATAGTCCTGTGAGGACCAGGGAGTTGGACTCAATGACCTTTATGGATCCCTTCCAACTTGAGATATTCTATGATTCTCTGATTCTATAATAATATTTTATTCTGTCAGGGTCTGTATGTATACTCTGTATGTATTTTCTCTCTCTGTACTTCTACAATATTTTTATATATATATATACAAGGAATAATGTGTCCTGTACTTAAAGAACCCAACAGAGAACTCGGAGTTGGGTGTTGGTTCTTCCACATTCTTCTTTGTGAGCTTGGGAAGTTCATGCCAAAGGTTTATAATCTGTATGACTACGAGACAAGCAAGTTGTGAAACTGAATGCATTAGTGTGCCTGAACATGTTAAAAACCTTGGAAGAAAAGCATTTGGGCAGTAGAAAAGGGTTAATATTATTTGATATTTTTTGATGATAGTGTGCTACATTCACAGAGAAAAGGCTTGCCCCAAACCAGTATGGTTATTTATTTATTGCAGCAGGCATCTTGCTATTAAAACCAATTGATGAATTTGAGCCACAGTGTCAGGCAATTAAACCTTATACAAAGCTTTGAAATCATTGAGACAAGTTTACCTCTCTCTTCTGAGACTGCAGAGGATTCTGATCCACTGGAAGCAGTGGAAACCTTCTTTACAGAGAGAATACTAGCAATACCCAGGGCTTGGGAACACTGCTCATGCAGAGTTGCCTTAGCCAGGCTTCTCAGTGTAGACACGTCTAGAAGGGTTAGGAATACAGTGGGACATTATGTGATTGACTCTGATCATTGCTTTTGATAGAACAGCTAGGGACTTAGGAATTTCTTTGGTGGTGCTATAGTAATTTCCTGTAAAATTTTTGATGTCGCAGTGTTGTGATCAGCAGTAGTGAAAAGTAGATGGGAGAGACTACACTATCTCTTTGTACCAGAAAAAGGATGTGAGTACAAATCAGACTCAAAAGAAATTTCCTATGATCCTGTTTGTCTTTTAATGTTGAACTCTTCTGTTTTATACTACTGCCAACTGGAATACAGCCACCAGGGGCTCTGCTGTCTTGCTGCTCGTTGTTCTTGGCTATTCTGAAAGACTTTATGTCAATATGACATACCATTTAAACTTTACTTGTAACTGTTAAGCTACTCTGAACTACAGTTTACCCATGACTAACTAATACTGTCATGGTGAGGACTTGCTCCTTTCTACAGGATCATTGATTATCCTCGGTCAATTTTTACCAACTTCGTGCACTCTTTAAATGTAGTTACATTTTCTAACCATGTCAAACCTGATGTAAGTTAAGGCAAACATACACTGAAAATACAGTAAATTGGGAGTGGAAAAGAAATATATCACTGAAGATAAGCTCCTTATAAAGAATGATCAATTGTTGAAGTGTTCACAATTCATGTTGAGAATAAGGCTAAAACACTCCATGAAGGATAAGCTAAATTAATAAGCCCACCAAAATGCCCTGTAAGCCAGAGAGGGACCTTCAGCTGGGACTTGTTGAAACAGATGTTTCACTGTTGGACTTTCTTTTTAATTATTATTCGTTAGAAAAATCATAAAGGCTAAAGATACCAAATCTCACTTAAAAACCTACATAGATCACTATTTGCAACCAATTCCCATTAATTCTGGGATTACTTTTGGTGAAGGACTTATTCATACCTCTTACGATACATGATGTTTCATGTCAAGACTGGCAGAGGAGGCAGGGATTGAATGTA